AAGTGCCTAATCCTTTACGCGAGATAAATGAAAAGGCCTATGAACCTCAAGTGATCTCCATTGGCCCTTCCCACCGTGGTAAAGGGCACCTAAAGGCAATGGAGGTGCAGAAAATGAATAGCTTAAAATTGCTTCTTGGCCGAACAGGAGAAAATAGTGTGCTGAGATATGCAGCGGCCTTGAAAGAAATGGAAGAAGAAGTTCGCAAATTTTATTTAGAGACTCTGCATCATATTGTGGAAAAGAATTGGTAGAAATGATGCTTCTTGATGGATGCTTTATCATTGAGCTTATTTTCAACAGTAACATGAAGAAACTATTTGAGAAAGGCAATGCGCGATCTGCCGCTGGCTGAAAATCAACTTCCCTTCTCTGTACTCTCCACGTTATATTCCCTGTCTAGTTGTCTGCCGTTAAACATTGCAACGGACTACGTTCTCGATGCAGTAATTAGTTTCTTCGATATAATGATGCCAGTACCTCAAAGCAAAGCACGTACCAGGAATCAAGATGTTAAGCATATACTGGGCTTGCTCCATGATCTCTCCTACTCATCGGAGGAAATGAAAGAGTAACTTGTACACCTCAGAAGCCACCTTGTTCAGCAACGGCAGTAAGTTTTCCATGCTGGCCACCCTGTATAGCACTGGTAAGTTTGCCGCCTCGAAGACCCCATTCAGCACGGGTAGTAATCGACCCCCGTACAAGCAGTTCCAGGAAGGTCTTCAACGCAAAAGTTGCGATTCGTTTGTTCTGAAATTGAGCTCAATGAGGCCGAGATCAAGTTCCAGAAAAATGAGGGGGTATTGTTTGATATAAAGTTTCAAGAGGAGGTGATGTCAATTCCAACCCTAAAAATCGATTATGATATGGAATCCATCCTTCGAAATTTGGTTGCTTATGAACAGTGCTACATGGGCATTTCCTCAAAACGCTTCACGGATTATATTACATTCATGGATTGCCTCATCAACACGGGAAAGGACGTTGAATTACTTTGTTGCTGTGGAGTTCTTGATAATTGGGGTGATCATAAAGTCGTTGCCACCATGTTTAACAGACTCCGCAACTCTGTTTTGATGTCAGAAGTGGACTTCTCCTACTCCGAGATATTCATCAGAGTGAACAAACATTGCAACAGAAAGTGGAACTCGTGGAAGGCAAACTAATGGCACAATTACTCTAACACTCCATGGGCATTGATTTCCTTTATTGCAGCGGTCTTTTTGCGTCTATGTACTTTGTTGCAAACTTTGTTTTCAATTCTCTCTTATCAGCATCAATGAGTTTGACCATTTGCAATCCTATGTTATGTATTCTTAAAAGAAAAAACCATGAATAGCTTGTGTTCCTTTGTTGTCAATTTATAAGGATGATATATTTCTTTCATTTGAACAAATGGACTATTAAAAGTCTGACTGAAATTGAAATCTTATGCGAACGGACAATTCATAACTTCTTTAGAAATGTTGTTTCACATCGTAATTTAAAACAAAGTCAAACCTATTTATTTACCACTTTGATATTTTTTTCTCTTTAAAATTACCACCTTAAACTAATTTTTATCTTAATCAATACCCCTCATAATTCATAACCTATGAATAATCCAAAAGTATAACCGTCCATCATGCGCTTATCACGTAGACGTTAAATTCGTCAGCTAAGGCCATGCGTGACACCTAGACGTGACGTGGCTTCATTACTCTGATTTGAATGTTTTTTTTAATAGGTGATGATATAGAAATAATTTTTTTATATAATTTTTTAATGTAATTTTTAATATTATTAAATAAATAAATACATTTAATATCACATATCTTAATGAATAAAAAAAATTAATTATTTAAATGACATGTAAGATTATATAAAAAAATTATATAAAAAAATTATAAAAAATTTTGTGCCTAAATTATATTTTTTAATGACGTGGCTGTCACGTGTTCTCATGTCTAGACATTTAAAAAAAATTATATTAAGAGTTCATTTGGTATAATAATTTTGAGATAATAGTTAGTGGTTTTAATTTATCCAAACTAGTAAAAGTAAATGTCTAATAAATTTATTTATTTAGAAACCGTTATGAATTAAGTATTTGATAAAACTTTTTATTTAACAATTTGAAATTAACGGATAGTAATTAGAGTTTAAATTATTAACGAATTGAAAAAAGCTATCGAAGATAGTTTTTTCTATCAAATCACTAACGAATTGAAATTTTTTAATTTTAGTAATAAATTTATCCTTTTTAATTTTTTAATTTTTTAATTATTGATAATGGTTTTTAATTAGTACTTATCTAATTAGTTTTAACTTTTTTTT